ATTAATCAGTTATTTGAGTCATAGCAGATATGTATGGATGCAGTCGTCCAATCTCATGGGAGTCATATACAATATTAGTTCTTTTTCCACTGCACCATGACTTTATATTTTATACTGTACATTATTTCTGTTATGTGACTTTTTGTCTAAGCAAAGTCAGACATTACTGTCTTAATTAAAAATTAAAAATCAAGGCATGATCATATTTTATTTTGGTAAAATAAGCGTAATCTAGAGGCCTTTGTCTTTCATATAAGCCAATTCTGATACCAAGTGATCAATTAGAAGTTATTATTTGTTGTTCCTCAAACTTGGATAAGCGACAAGACTTTGCTTTTCTGCTTTTCTTCTAGTACAAGTTTCTAGTCTAAACATCTAAAAATTCTTTAATCAAGAAGCATTTTCTAGACAAGTTAAACACAATGTCTGGTTTGAAGGAATAATATTTCAAAAATAAATGTTTTTTTTTCTTACAATAAGATAAATAATCTTATTTCAAAACAAAAACAGATTGTTTTTGCATAGTTTTCAGGAAAAGCGACTTAGTTTTACTATAGTTACTTATTCGTTAAAAAAATGGCACTTTTTTGCTCATTTAAAAAATTCAATTCAATTCAACTTTATTTGTATAGCGCTTTTACCATGTAGATTGTTTAAAAGCAGCTTCACATAAAAGGTCATTGTAAATTGGAACAGTGTAGTTCAGTTTTTTAGTGTTTAAAATGCTTCTTGATTTAAGAGTTTTTAGATATTTTGACTTGAAACAAAACAACAAATTAAATTTCTTAGCATTTTCAAATTAAATTTTTATGTATAAAATTCACACTTAAAGAAATAATTCACCCCCCCCCCAAAAAAAAAAAAAAAAAAAAAAAAATATATATATATATATATATTTACTCGCCATCAGATGCATCCAGTTTCTTTTTTGTGCTGATCCTAGATGAAGATGTTTTGAAGAAAGCTAGAAACCGGTAACCATTGACATCCATTATAGGAAAAACAAACACTATAGAAGTCAATGGTTACAGAATGGTTAAAAGACACTAAATACACAAGGATATTACACAGTATTAAATGGAAGAGCAAAACTACTCACTAGTTGCATTTACAGCCTAATTGTGTTTATTTTGCAGTCTAATCCTACTCAAACTTTCAGGAGAAATGTTTTTAGTGCTGTGTTTACAGTTGAGTGGTTTGGTTTAATTAAAACAAACTGGGCAGCCAATGTTATTGCATGGCAACAAGGAAAAAAAAAATCATCATACTGGTTTTTGTGCTGTGTGCACCTGGTGTGAATACTGCCATATGGATCTATTGTTCTGACTCAAAAGAATCATTTCATCATATGTTTTGGGCTGCTGTAGCATGCTCAATCAAATATAAATGATGATGAAAATTAAATTGAAAATGATGTGATTACCCTCATGTCGATCCATAACACTGAGATTTAAACACACTCTCACTCATACACTACAGCCAATTTAGTTTATCCAATTCACCTATAGAGCATGTCTTTGGCCTGTGGGGGAAACCGGAGTACTGAGAGGAAACCAATGCGAACACGAGGAGAACATGCAAACTCCACACTGGCCCAACTGTAACTTGACTTGAACCAGTAGCCTTCTTGCTGTGAGGCGACAGTGCTTATCACTGAGCTACTGTGCCTTCCCCAAATTAGAACTATTGATCAATTGACTAATGACTTCTATACAAACAACCAGGATAATCATGCATTTAGGAGGCCTGTATGTTGCACAGTTGGCTGGATTTCTGTGTGCTTGTTTTAAACACAAAGTGAGTTTAAAGGGATCATTTTAGAAATAAAAATTTGGTTATGAAGCAGTTTATGGTAAACATTGACTTCTGTTTAAATTGTTTATTGTAAAAAAACAAACACTATATCTGTACAAATAGTTACATATCATTATCTTTGTTGTTTTGTTTTTTACAAAAGAGAAGAACTAATATATATATATATATATATATATATATATATATATATATATATATATATATATATATATATATATAAAGGTAAATAATAATAATAATGATAATAATAATAAAAGAAGAAAAGAAAAATGGAAACAAGAGTAATACGTGTACAGAAAATTACAACCAACTATCGCAATCAAATTCAGATACATTGTCAATGTTAAAGGTAAATATTTACAATTAAACAATATAAAATTGTATTAGATACAACAAACAAATTAAAATACTACGAAATTAATAAATTAAAAAGGGAAGGAGACTGCATCTATTAAATGGATGCAATACCTTAAGAGAGTTAAAGTAAGTTATAAAACAGTGCCACTTTTTAAAGAAATTAGTTTTCCCAGAGCGTCTAACCTTTTCCAACTTTAGAAAATGCATGGTATCTACAAGACATGTTGTTGGAGGCTTTGATTTCCAGTGAAGTAGAATGCGACGCCTGGCTAATAGTGAGTTAAAGGCCTAAACATTGACTTCTATGTGTTTTTTTCTCTACTGTGGAAGTCAATGGCTAACATCAATTCTCTTTGTTTTGTTCACCAGAAGAAATGCATAGGGATCTATTTTAACAATCTTGGCGCAATGTCTAAAGCGTTTTGTGCAAAAGCATTGAGGCTGTGTCTGAATTCACTTTTGCTATTTTAAGGACAGAAATATGCTTTGCGCCTCGGGGCAAGGTCGAACTGGGCTGTGCTTATTTTCTTTATGAGTTATGGGTGTGTTTTGAGCATAACGTGCATTAAATCAGAGTCTCATCTCCCGTTCCCTTTAAGAGTCAGTTGTGTAACACCATGGCACATTTGAATGCTTGAACAGTTAAGTGGTAGCGAGAAACAGTTAACAAGACCAACTGCAGTACGAGGATAAAGAACGAGCCTCCTCCATTCGGCCTCTTACTCTTTACTCCCTTACTTTTGTGTACACACTCCATTGAAGACATTCATCAGCCTACCTATTTAATTTCATTTGTTAAGGGCAAAGGTTTGTTTCAAAACTATTTCTAAATTCAGTTCTAAATTACAGCAAAATTAATAAATGAAGAATAATAACAAAGTGTGGTCAAACAACTGATCCGAACTTATACGTGTGCATATCCAAACACACGTCCTATTCTTATGCCCTATATGATGATGCAGACGTCTCCAAAACCCAACAGGTGGACAAATCTCAAGTTGTTTGTATTAAAACAAATATAAATATGCGTATAATAAATAATGCTGCTAATAATAATTACAGTATACAAATGCACATTGTCATGAATAAACTAAAAACAGCCCCCCGACATGAAGAAGGCATGGAGGCAGTGGGTTTTATATTTATGTAGAAAACAATCATTTTTTGTAACATTTTAATCCTTCATTTTTTTTCATTTGTAAAGATATTTGTGTGTTGCTGCACATCCTGTGTGTATTAAGCAATGTGTAGGCGTTTAAACCTGCATAGGCGCAAAACTAAAGCAATTTGCGCTAGACTTTACACCTGCTTTTAGTTGGTCAATGGCACAATCTATTTCAGCTCCTCAAAATAGCAACACGCCAACAATGCGCCTTAACACAACTCCTTCATAGATCCACACCCATGAGTCCACAAAATTGCGCAAACGGATGAGCTATTTAAACAACGTGGCGGAAAACAGGAAAATTAGAGTAGCGCTGATCTGAAGATAGCAACAAATCACACCAAACACATCTTGCGTTTTATTGCGCCTGGTGTATGATGGAGACCATTGTCTTGCAACAAATTGGCAGTGAGTAAATGGCGAGTAACTTTTTGTTTTTGGGTAAACTATCCTTTCAAACCCGTACATTTATGTGTAAATCCGATTATTTGTTGTATAACTGTTAAACTCGAAGGTTAATTTAAGTCAAGTTAGGCCCCGTTTACACTAATGCGTGTTAGTTTGAAAACGCATAGGTTTTGCTAAGGTTACGCCATCCGTCCACACTACATTGAAGTTTTCGGGCACCGAAAACGGAGCGTTGGAAACACTGGAGAGGCCGTTTTCATTTTGAAACGCTGCTGCTCTGTCTTTGTGTAGATGGGGAAAAATGGAGACATCTGAAAACGGAGGCGGGGCTGCTGAGAATCGCTACCTGATTGGGGCTTTTGTTTCGTTTTGTATCCTTCCCTTATTCGTCAAGCCCCTGTCACATGACTATAACACATGGCTTTATTGCTACCGGAAGACAGGCGAACAGCCTTCACTGTAAACAACATGGACAGAAATGAGAGCGTTGTTTGCACTATTGTCTGTTTTAGGCACCATTGTGCAGTTATTCATTTGTTATGTTTAGTAACAACTCGACCGCGTCGTCTGTCCACAAAAATACCTCTCTTGCTTTCTTTGCCATCGCATTCATTGTTCAACCGGCGTTTGTTGACTAACAATAACCAAATGCAGAGCGAGCACTTGCTTCCTGTTTATAATAGAACGCGCATGCCCAGAGTGCGCGAATGGTCACGTGATATACGTTTTTGGTGGCGTAGTGTGGACGGAGTTATGTTCAGAAACGCTAGGTGAAACGCTAGTGTGGACGCGGATCGTTTTTAAACTAAAACGCAGTTTTAAAACTAAAGCGCACTAGTGTAAACGGGGCCTTAGACATGCATGAACCCCCTGATGTTTGCCTTTGTGTGTTTTAGCAAAAGCCCTTCTGATAACCGAGAGGATGTTAGGCTGTGTAGCGAAACGACCTCCGTCAACAGTGTGTTTGATGTGGAAAATGTTTTTTTAAAAGGTTGAACTGCATGAAGTCATCAGTGTAATCTACTTAAGTTAATTTCAGGCAGTTAATTGGATGCTCGATGCATAACGAGGCCAGGATCAAATGAACATTAAGCAATAATCAGCGGTGAAATAAAGCCATTTCCCTCTTGGTGGGAGCAGATTACTTTGAAATCCCGAGAACGCTGTGAGAGGATAGAAGAAACGTAGAGCCCGGTAAAAAAAAAAAGAAACCTAATTAGGTGTCTATCTCTCTTTCTCTTTGTCTCTTTTGCAGAAATCAGGCACAAATGAAACTCTGCAACTGATTATAAAGCACTGACAGACATTGTTACCACACACACACACACACACACACAAATTGGCTTATTATTTAACACACACATACAAAATGGCATTGGACAACACCGGCTTCTCCTCGTGCCCTGAAGAGTCCTTGTCCCTCCCAGTTCCTGAGAAAGGGGAGGAGCCTGTGGAGGAGGCCCCAAAGGAAGCCCCGCCCACTGATGAACAAAACACTTCTGAGGAACTGGGGCATGTGGTAACCACGGAGACAGCCCCACCCACACAGGCTCCATCCAATAACAGCATGACCTTCCAGGATAAGATGGCTGCAAGGGAGGCGCAGGCCAATCAGCACAGGAAGAAAATTCAGGTGGTGGGGCAAGAGAGGGGCAGGTTTGGATGGGGTAAGACGACTCGTTTTCATTTCAATCACTTATAAATTAGTTAAGTTGGTGGCTGATTTCCTCATTATCTGCATGATGGAACTGATTTGACCTACTCTTACAGGAACACAGTGCTTTTGCTGTTATTCATAGTTTCATTGATTTTTTTTGTACGTCTTTAAATATGGATTGCGGTAAGCTGGGACTGTTGGGTGTTTATTTAATTAAAGTTTAAAATTTTCTCTAATTGTTTTCTGCTTGTCTCTGTCCAGCACGGAGCAAACGTAAGAGGCAGCGTTATGTGGAGAAGAACGGCCGCTGTAATGTGCAGCACGGCAACATGCGTGAGACTTACCGCTACCTGACGGATATCTTCACTACGCTGGTGGATCTGAACTGGCGCTGCTCTCTGCTTGTGTTTGTCATGGCGTATGCCGTCACCTGGCTCTTCTTTGGAGCAATATGGTACCTCATTGCATACTGCAGGTATGATTAACACACACAAACATGCATTTAGTCTTTAATACAACAATTATTTTGTTTCAAATTGTGAAGCATTTTAAGTAAAATGGGATTCAAAGAAATGGTTGACTGTAATCATTTGTTAGTGTTAGTAAAGTTGAAAAGAAGACTAGTCCGTCCATAATTTAACCCAAATTAATTTTATGGTTGTGATAAAGCTAGTTCTTTCAATTTGCTCGCCTCTAAGCAAACATTGGATGCCGCACTCCTCCCACCCTTTTTCTTTTTTGTAAACAGAACATATCTATTCATTTATCCATCCATCCATCCATCCATGTTCTCTAATGCATTCTATCGATCATCCAATTAACCATCCATGTTCTCTAATGCATTCTATCAGACATCCATCCATCCATCCATTGCATTCTATTAGCCATCTATCTATCTATCTATCTATCTATCTATCTATCTATCTATCTATCTATCTATCTATCTATCTATCTATCTATCTATCTATCTATCTATCTATCTATCTATCTATCTATCTATCTATCTATCTATCTATCTATCTATCTATCTATCTATCAATGTTCTGTAATGCATTCTATTAGTCATCCATTCAACCATCCATCCATCCATGTTCTCTAATGCATTCTATCGGTCATCCATTCATCCATTGCATTCTATCAGCCATCCATCCTCCCATGTTCTGTAATGCATTCTATTAGTCATCCATCAGTGTTTTGTAACACATTCTATTAGTCAGTCAGAGTGTCTGTCAGTTAGTCATCCATCCATCCATCCATCCATGTTCTGTAATGCATTCTATCATCCATCCATTCAACCATTCATCCTTCCATGTTCTGTAATGCATTCTGTCAGTCAGTCAGTCATCCATCCATCCATGTTCTGTAATGTATTATAGCAGTCATCCATTCAAGCATCCAGGTTCTGTAATGCATTATATCAGTCAGTCATCCATCCATCCATCCATCCATCCATGTTCTGTATTGCATTATATCAGTCATCCATTCAACCATCCATGTTTTGTAATATATTTTATAAGTCATCCATCCAAAAATTCATGCATCCATGTTCTGTAATGCATTCTATAGGTCATCCATTCAACCATCCATTCATTCATCCATCCATGTTCTGTATTGCATTCTATCAGTCAGTCAGTTATCCCTCCATTCATGTTCTGTAATACATTATATCAGTCAGTCATCCATCCATCCATCCATCCATCCATCCACCCATCCACCCAACCATCCATCCATGTTCTGTAATGTATTATATCAGTCATCCATTCAAGCATCCATGTTTTGTAATACATTCTATCAGTCATCCATCCAACCATTCATCCATGCATGTTCTGAAATGCATTCTATAGGTCATCCATTCAACCATCCATTCATCCATATTCTGTAATGCATTCTCTCAGTCATCCATCCATCCATCCATCCATCCATCCATCCATCCATCCATCCATCCGTTAATCCATGTTCTGTAATGCATTCTATAGGTCATCCATTCAACCATCCATCCATCCATGTCCTGTAATGCATTCTATCATCCATCCATCTATCCATGTTCTGTGATGCATATTATCAGTCATCCATCCATCCATTCATCCATCCATCTTCTGTAATGCATTTTATCAATCATCCATCCAACCAGGGCTGCACGGTGGTGCAGTGGGTAGCACAATCGCCTCACAGCAAGAAGGTTGCTGGTTCGAGCCCCGGCAGGGTCAGTTGGCATTTCTGTGTGGAGTTTGCATGCTCTCCCCGTGTTGGCGTGGGTTTTCTCAGGGTGCCTCCGTTTCCTCCACAAGTCCAAAAACTTGTGCTATAGGTGAATTGGGTAGGCTGAATTGTTCATAGTGTATGTGTGTAAATGTGTCTGCATGGATATTTCCCAGTGATGGGTTGCAGCTGGAAGGGCATTCACTGCATAAAACATATGCTGGATAAGTTGGCATTTCATTCCGCTGTGGCGACTCAGATTAATAAAGGGACTAAGTTGAAAAGAAAATTAATGAATGGATCCATTCAACCATCCATTCATCCATCCATCAATGTTCTGTAATACATTCTATCAGTCATCCATCCATCCATCCATCCATCCATCCATCCATCCATCCATCCATTTATCCATCCATCCATCCTCTGTAATCCATCCATCCAATAGTAAAAAGAACACTGGATCAGGTATCAACAAAACATAGAGATTTCTGCTTCTCAATCAAGTGTTTCTCAATCAGTTTTCAGCTCATAGATGCTGTGCATTAGTGCTGTCGCTTTGGTTCACTCTAGACATGAACACAAGTAATGTGTGTGTGGGTGGACACTTGAGAACAAGCGCTTCTCCTTGTGCTGTGCCAATTTACTAAAAGAGACTGTGTGATTTAAAAAAAGGCAAGAGCACATTTAATAAACAGCATCTCCTTCGCTGCTGGACGTTGTTTAATGATCTCTGGCTTCATGTTTTACGGCAGAGGTGATCTGGATCATTTGGAGGACGAGTCTTGGACTCCGTGTGTGAACAATGTTAATGGCTTCATCTCTGCTTTCCTGTTCTCCATTGAAACGGAGACGACCATCGGCTATGGTTACCGCGTCATTACCGACCAGTGTCCAGTGGGAACCATGTTGCTGCTGCTGCAGGCCATACTGGGATCTATGGTCAACGCTTTCATGGTAAATATACACACATAAACTTGCACTTTCTGCAAATATATGGAGCACTTTGGGGTGTTATTGCTTTAAGAAATGCAATAGAGACATAAATGCTATGTTTGTTTTTTGTTGTAAAGTCTAAGAATAATATATATATATATTTTTTTTTTTAATTTTGTTTAAAAGTTACTATGCCGACTTTATTAAATCAAATCAACCATTATAAGAAATTTGTTAGCAAAAAATTATATATTAAAATAATATTTAATAAGTATATGTGTATATACATTTGTATAATATATGATAACATTATATATTAATCGCTCTCCTGTGAATTATTTTTCTTTTTTAAATGTTTCCCAAACTATGTTTAATGGAGCAAGGAATTTTTCACAGTATTTTCTATAACATTTTTTTCTTCTAGAGAAAGTCTTATTTGTTTTATTTCAGCTAGACTAAAATCAGTTTTTATTTATTTTTTAATCATTTTAAGTTCAATATTATTAGCAATATTTTATTTTACGATTTGTCGACAGAACAAACCATTATTATACAATGACCTAATTAACCTAGTAAAAGGTCCAGTAGGTGATCTGCCACAATGCTAGCCTGTTATATAGCATAAAGCACAGTCCCTCCCCTGCCGTCCAAAGCCACGCCTCCTGAAAACACAAGCGTGCAAACCTTAAAGAGCCCATATTATACATGAAATAGGGTCATATCTTGGTTGTAAGGGTCTCCAACAACAGTTTATTATGCATGCAAGGTCAAAAAACACTTTCGTGGTCTTATAATCTGCATTTATTTTTACCTAATTATCCCAGCGACTCCCGTATGAATCGTCCAGTGATTCATTTGTTCCCAAACCCCTCCTTAGCGCGAAGCTAATCTGCGCTGATTGGACCAATGACAGTCTGTCGCGATTGGTCGACTGCCTTCAGTCAGAGAGTGAAATGCCAAACAGCTAATCAGCAATATAAAAGTAATCACAGTTCATACACGCTCGATAGTGTAGGCGTGGATTTTAGCTGCCAGTGAGTCAATGTAAATACAGACTATGGACTTGAAAATACAGACAACTAACTATTTTATTGAGCAAAAACTCAAAAACAGTTGAGGGATCTCCTAGCTTCTCACTCTGCTCTTTTCACAGACACACACACGCATATTGCACACACACACACACGCACTTAACCCTGCTCCGGACGACAGCGCGCGCACACGCACACACAGACACACACACTACTCCTCGTCCACGGAGCTCCGTTAACAAAGCAGCACGCGTCGCGTTTTTAACGTGACTTTGCACGCGGTAAGAGAATATAGCCAGTTAACCTGATACAGTACACGCGGTTACAAGTAACAAATCACAACTAAATACATTTGCAAGCTAGAGTCAACGAGGCAACTTTAATCGCACGTACTTACACTTGAGAAATGGAGGAAGAAAAATCCATCCTGACGTCCATCAGTAAGTTACTCTTTACAGATCCTTCCTTTAACAAACGCTGATGAAGTATTCTTTGTAGCCTGTAGTTTCCAGAAGTTTCCAGTAGTTTCCAACTGCTTGGCTATAATGCTGAGGTTTCATCTTTGGGTAGAGACTCAATATATCCATCTGCAGTGTGACTTCAATCGACCGGCATGTTTGTGTGTGCGTGTGTTTGTGTGTGTGTCTGGGTTTCTGCGTCAGAGGGCGGGGCCTCAGGTTTGAAATCTCCCGGGTTTGCGCGTGCACGTGAATAACTTGGTTTCGTTCGTACGTCATGGCGAAACACCTAATGAATCGGTATCAAGGCGACTCATTTGAAGCACTATGAGTCGACTCTTTTATAGATGAATCAACCGTTTTAAACACTGTATTCTTACAGATTTAAGCCTTAGCTGGATACTTCACTTCACTTAGAGCTGTGTTACACACTACATGGAGGGGAATTTTCAAAAACCCATAATATGGGCTCTTTAAAGATGACAGCGGAAACCTCTCTCATGTGTTGAGCTAAAGCTTCGGCCGGTGGCGTGCAGGAATTACACTCATTACTAAACCATACTTACATGCTTTTTGTGACCGAATATTCAGAGTAGCGGTAAACAGTATAGGGAACACATCACAGGTTGTCTTGTTCAAAAATGAACCAGTGCGAATATAAAACCGACTTCACCTCAGTATAGCAGGCTAGTCGGAATAGTGATATTTACTGATGTTTTGCTGTTGAACTAAATAAAAATCTACCCTATCGATGCTGTAAAAGGACCTTATGAAACTGAAAATAGTCACATCAATCAATTGCTGGAAGATTTCAGTGGCTGAACAACACTTCTGTGCATATAACCCATTCATAACAACTCAGTCTATATCAGCTCTGCGTGACAAAAAGAGTTTCAAAGCATAACATTACCTGTCTAAGAAAAACACTTCAGCCATGATGTCGTCCTTCCTCTAGCGTGCAAAAGTTACTCCAGTATTGACTCAGTATTTGAAAAAGTTTTGATTCAGTACGTTTTTACCACTCGCTTTCTCTCTCTCATGAACGCACAGCACGTGTATGCACAAACAGCAGAGCTGCGTACAAACATGTGCGCACTAGTTCAAATCTGCATTTGCTGACAGACAGTTTGAGCTACTTATCAGAATTATGGGAGATGTCGGCCCTACTCTATTTTAATTGGATGAACTTTTTTAGTCTTATGCCTTACCCAGAATATAAGAATACATATAAATACATTTAGATAATTTACTTTAATCAGTACTATTGGAATGTGAAGAGACTTTCAACCAGCACAACAAAACATGTTTCTCAAGACAGTCACCTACTGCACCTTTAAGTCTTTAGATCACACCTTAAGCTGAATAATAGGTTATTTAAACAGATCTCTTAAATATTTTATACTGTTATCATGGCAAAGGTAAAAGAATACACTCACCGGCCACTTTATTAGGTACACCTGTCCAACTGCTTGTTAACGCAAGTTTCCTATCAGCCAATCACATGGCAGCAACTCAGAGCATTTAGACCAATGACTGTAAAAAATATGGACGACGCGACAGCCCTTTTTCCCATTGAACGCCTTGAGGGCAAAACGCCTGCTTGACGGGCACAAACTGTCGCAAAAGACTGCTGAAATTGGAGCCAGACATGGGCAGAAGGATTGTCTGATGGAGCCAGAGGAGGAGCCGCGAAAATGAGCAGAGTCGAGCTTCCAATCAAACGCTTTATGTAAAATCAACTACGCCCCCCGAACTTCTCAGCATGCGTTTGCTGTCATATCAACACAAATGGATGTAATAACGTTAACAAATATGAGGGTTTTATATATTCAATCGCGCCAGCTCCAGGCCGCAGCGCATAACTTACTCGCGGCGTCGCGGGCTGATTCCAGGTCGCATGCGGCAGCGCCTGCTCGCTCGGCCGCCGCATCTGGCTCGATTGACTCGGGCTGGAATTGGGTAGTGAGTCCAGGCATCCGGAGTAGGTCCAGCAGAGGTAACATTAGTCAGTCTGAGCTCTAAGAGATAAGTCTCCGGCAGGCGAGAATCTAGCCGGAACTGTGTTTTGCTATCTGGGTGGCTAGGCGTGTATCAGCAAATTAATAAAGCCCGAAAAAAGCCCTGAACTTAGCGAATAAACAGTGTTCCACCAGGATCATGTATGTCAGAAACTATAGTTTACTGCTGAACTCATTTTGTCATGGTAAAATAACACAGAAATCGAATAATAACATTTCAGTCTACTTCAGTCTCCTGCCGAAGCTCAGACGCCGCGCTTTGAGAAACTGTCAATCACAGCTGTCAATCACGATGACACGCCCAGCATTAAATTACTGCTAAAAACAAACTGTTTACAAAAATGAAGATCTGCACCTATTTCAGCACAATAACCAGTGCCTTAATCAACCAGAACCATCTTTCGGGACATTTTATTGCAAGTGTAATATTTTTTTTTATTTGGGCTCAAGTCTCCTTCATTAACACGGAGGAGGCGGGCTTTATGACTTGTACTGCAGCCAGCCCCCAGGGGGCGATCTAACGGCCGAAACCTTCACTCAAACGCAGGCTTGCGACACACTTGATTTAGACATGGTCAAGACAATCTGCTGCAGTTTAAACCGAGCATCAGAATGGGAAAGGTGAATTTATTTTATTATTTTTAAATAATTATTTCACCTTTAATGGATAGGACAGTAGAAATTATTGACAAGAAAGCATGGGGAGTGTAGATAGGTGAAGGATCAGCATAGGACCTTGAGGTGGGAACCTCGGATCGCTGTGGTGCATGTGTTGACGCACTAACCACTACGCCATTGTCACCGTCAGGAAAGGTGATTTAAGATACTTTCAGTGCCGCATGACTGCCAGACTGGCTGGTTTGATTGGTTCAGAAACTGCTGATGTACTGGGATTTTCACATGCAATCATCTCTAGGGTTTACAGAGAATAGTCCGAGAAAATATCCAGTGAGCGGCAGTTCTGTGGGTGCATATGCCTTGTTGATGTCAGAGGAGAATGGCCAGACTCGTTCCAGCCGATAGAAAGGCAACAGTAACCTAAATAACCATTCATTACAACTGAGGCATGCAGAAGAGCATCTCTGAGGGCTCAATGGCCTCCACAGTCACCAAATCTCAATCCAATAGAGCAATTTCGGGATTTAGTTTAACAGGAGATTCACATCATAGATGTGCAGCCGACAAATCTACAGCAACTACGTGATACTATCATGTCAATATGGATCTCTGAGGAATGTTTCAAGTACATTGTTGAATCTATCCCATGAAGGATTAAGGCAGTTCTGAAGGTAAAAGTGGGTCCAACTCTGTAGTAGTAAGGTGTATCTTATAAAGGCTGGTAAGTGTATATGCTGAATACAAAAATTGTTAACAATCATTGCATAATAATAGAATATATTTAACTAAAGGCAGAGGGTTTAATTAAGGTTAAGCACGTCTTTTCTTGGGCCATATGCAAAGAGAGAGAGAGAGAGAGAGAAAGAGAGAGAAGAATTGATGTACTATTTGCACACTTTCAGTGCCAAATGAGTCTGGTGTATGATGTGGTCTGAAACCAAAATGTTTTTAAATTGCACGTGACTTTGGTTTTTTGATCTTTGCTCTTTTGTGTTATATCATCCATAACCAAGAGCAAATGAGTCATGCGTTTAGATCACAGATGTGTGTACCCCTCCCTCCTGTTTCTCTGTCTGTCGTTCTTTTTTTGAATTCTGTTGCTTTTGCTAATTTCAGCCCTCTCCACAGTCTCATTTCTGGCCTATTTTACTTTATTTTTGTGGTTTGATGAGTTAATTTATATCTTCTTGTCCTGGTTTAAATGTTGCCCCGGGGTCCTTGTTTCACTCAGACACACTCTTGAACACAACACACACTCTCTGCTAAATGCCACGTCCTCTAGGATCTGCATCTGAACTCAGATTAACACATTACATCTGTTTCCTAATCAATGAAGTTTGTGAGGGGAAGCATGACAACTGCTCGTCAGGTTACAATTTTCAGTATACCCAAATTTAATAGTTAATTAATTAATTAATTTTCTTTTTGGCTAAGTCCTTTTATTTATCAGGGGTCGCCACAGTGGAATGAACCGCCAACTTATCCAGCATATGTTTTACACAGCGGATGCTCTTCCAGCTGCAACCCATACACACTTTTTCACACACACACATACACTACGGCCAATTTAGCTTATTCAATTCACCTACACTGAATGTCTTTGGACTGTGGGGGAAACCGGAGCAGTTAATTCATCTAATGTTAAAGATATGAATGTCACATCAAACTATGTTGTTTATTGTGTTGTTATCATCTAAGTGTTCCAAGTGTAACCTATTAATTGGTAAATTGGTGAAAATGTATAAGTTTGTCAGGTAAAAAAAACTGCCTAGCAGCTACCCAGAACTCCTTAGCATAGATATACACGATACATATCGCAAACGGACCCTGAGCATGCGTCAATAGCGCCGCCATATTTGTACAGTGCTCCCAACACAAATGTCATTCAACTGCACTACTCAAGACTAAAGCCAGTGGGAAGATGCTGGACTTTTGGGCTGCGTACGGGTGTAGTAACGAGTAAAGAAAACAAATAATAAAAGCAGAACATTTCATAAGTAAGATTTCATTTAAGTGTTTGTTATGAACTTTTGTGCTTAACAAGTAACGTTATTGATGATAATAAAAACTCATACTGCACTGACCATAAGACAAGTAGGTGAACTCTAATGAAGCTGCTGAAACATCTCAAGAATGAACAGTGGAAACAGAATGTACCTGAGCTCAATTTACAGCTTTACGGCAAAGACTGTCAATAATTATGTACATGTGCTTTTTCAGGTTTTTTATTTGTTTTAAATTTTAAACAATTTCAAACTCTTTTATCAAAGTCATTATGGGGTATTGTGTGTAGAAGTTTGAGGAAATAAATGAATTAATCCATTTTGAAATAAGGCGACATATAAACAGTGGAAAAAGTGAAGCGATATTAATACTTTCAAGATGCACTGTACATCAATAACACCTTAGCAACTACATATCAACACTGCAGCACATTAATTCTGTTACACACACCCTAGCAACATACTAGTAGCAATTAATAAGATCTTAGCAACCACATGGCAATGTATTGGACACCAACCACAACACTAGGATTGATACTGATGTCTGGAGCATGAAGAAAATTCTGTGTACTTGCAAGTACACAGAACTTCTTAGCAACAACCTAATAATTATCTGTAAAATCTTAGCAACCACATAGCAACGCACTTGAAACCACCACAACATTAGAATAAAAGTGAAATAACGAGTCTGCTTCTCTCCGTCTCTCTTCAGGTTGGCTGTATGTTTGTGAAGATCTCCCAGCCGAACAAGCGTGCAGAGACTCTAGTGTTTTCTCGTAATGCTGTCATCTCACTACGCGATGACAAGCTCTGTTTGATGTTCCGCGTCGGAGACTTGAGGTCCTCCCACATTGTGGGCGCCAACATGAGAGCCAAACTTATCAAATCCAAACAGACACAAGAGGGTAAGATCACATGCAACACCCTTAAACTGATATAATGATGAACTGGCGCCACCTGCTGGTTACATTCTAAAACGACAACTGATTGTGTCAAATTGTTTTATTATTCTTTTTCATTCATTTCAGGTGAGTTTATTCCGCTAGATCAAACTGATATCAGTGTGGGCTTCGAGACGGGAGATGATCGTCTGTTTCTGGTGTCTCCTCTGGTGATCTCTCATGAAATCGATGTACGCTCTCCGTTCTGGGACATGTCACAAAATCAGCTGGAGAAAGAGGACTTCGAGATTGTTGTCATCTTGGAGGGGATGGTGGAAGCAACAGGTACATGCTCTAAGACATCCTACGCCCCCTGATACTTTGCATGAATCACAGGAGTAGCTTCCAATCAGAGTAAACAGTCAGTGAGCTGTTTTAAAAAATGGGTACGGTAAAGTTTTATCATTCTCCTCGCAGTTATTCAACCTTTCAACATTTAAAGCCTGATTTATACTTCTGCGTCAAGTGACCGGCGTAACCCACGGCGCAGGCAACGGACGTGGCTGTGCATTTATACTTCTGCGCGCTGTCTCTGTCGGTCTGCATTAACACTTCCGAAACGCTAGTGGGCAGTGAGGTGTAAATGTTCCTCTGTGTCGAGTTTCTTCTCTGCTTTTTTGCTTTTCCTGAACACTTCCGGGATGTACAAGTGGTGCAAACTCGCTCATTTTGAGGCAGGAACCGGCGGACGTGCAACAACTTTAACTATGATGTAAACACAAAACAAAACTTTCCATCCGGAGCTCCTTCACGGGACTCCACACTTGTAAACAATCGCTCGCGCCATTCGCGCAGCTCTCGGTTCCGCCCAGACTCGTCAGCGCTACCAAGCCGACCAATCACAGAGCTTACGCTACGCGTCGTTGCGACGTGTAGTTACATTTTTTGAGAGGTGCACATCAGTGACGGCGATGGCCACGGCGAAGGGCTATGCGTCAGCGCCGTAGCATACGCCGACGTTTGACGCAGAAGTATAAATCAGCCTTAAAGGCCACCAGCTGGAATTAACACATTACTTTCCCCCCGGTTGCCATTTGTAACACCTTGACAATCACATAGCAACATCTAGGAAATCATTCACAACATCTGTTTACCATCACTAACACCTTAGCAAACACTGTAGCACTTTAATTCTGTTACAAACAACCTGGTAGCAGTTTATAAGCTTCTAGGAACCACATACAGTAGCAACGTCTTGGACTTGGATTGTTGCTGATGTCTGCAGCATGTGCAACGGAGGCCAGCTAGTAAGTGCTGTGCAGGTAAACTTTACTCCTCTGACCTCTAAAGGTGCTTTAGCGACAGACGCTAGAGGCCATGGTCTTTAGCCTCCTTGTTAGAGCAACCGACTCCCATGCGGAAGGTCGCCGGTTCGATACCAGCTCGGAGCAGGTTGGGTGGGGAAGGACCGGCAGGGTTACACATGCACACTCTAGTAACACTCTGGTAATTTCCATAAGACCTTATCAAGCACTTAGCAGTGTCCTGTACATCATTCACAACACTTTAGCACTGTGATTGACATTCATTGCACAGACTCCCTAGTAACCATCTATAAGACTCTAGCAACATCACACTGGCAACCATCAGAACACTAGAGTTAGGGTACTGATTGACTGACTTGCGTTGTACAGACTTGTAAAGTAAGAAACTGCCTAGCAACTACCCATAACTCGTTAGCAAATTGCAATACACCGGTTACCACCTGTAACACCTTGCCAACCACAGAGCAACGTCCTGAAAATGAGAAATGATACATATCGCTGTGAAGCAGTGTACCGGAGCTTGAGTCGTTTTGCCATAATCATGTGATCAGTAACGTCCGAAGTTTTATTTTCGCCTATACCCACGTGACTGCTTCGAATTTTGATTCAAAGGTTTAAACACCCTTGTGGGTTATTAAAGTGTACACACTGAGAAATAAGGCCTCGATTAGATACAATTCTACTTTTTCAAAGCACTGCACCGGTAATTCAACTAAAATACAATAGTAATTTATAGTAAAAAGCTTTTAAACCATACTAAAGTGTATTATTTACAACTATTTTTAAAGAAGGCCACTGCGTATTGTAGTATAGTGTGAAACAGAGGCTAGCTGGCGAGTGCAGCCCAAAAGCCACACTCCCATAGCCTCCTCCTTAGGGTTGGTTTATACATCTGAGTCGAGTGATCGGTGTGACCCACGGCGCATGCCTTGTGTGTAGTCGTGCATTTATACCTTTGTGTGATGTTTTGTGTTGCTCTGCAATAACACACAAAATGCTAGCTGGCAGTAGGTGTTTATGTTCCTCTGTATTGAGTTTCTTGAGTTTCACTTGTAAACACCTGCACCAATGGGTTCGCACGGCTCTTAGTCCTGTCCACACTTGTCAGCGATACCAAGCCGACCAATCAAAGCACTACACATTTTTGCAACGTGTAGTTAAATTTTTTGAAGGTACGCATCAGTGATGGTCACAGCTAGGGCTATGCGACCACACGTAGACTGCGCCGGACCATACACGTGTGCTTGACACAGAAGTATAAATCAACCTTTAGAGCATTCGCCTCCCATGTAGGAATTGCCGGTTTGATCCCTGCTTTGTAACGAGTGGGTGGGTAAAAGACCAGATGGAATACGATAAATGTAAAAAAACAAGGGGTGCCTGCAAAATAAGGCCAGTTTATTAGGCACAAAGGCAGCCTGCTACACGCTGGTGAGCACTACTGGTTGGGGATGGGATCTTTGGGCAAAGCAAAGTTCAGGTAAGCCCTGAGAACATATAACAATTCATGCAAGAGGTGCCACAGCAATAATTGCAAATAGAAATGATCTAAGTTACAGCAGAGAAGGGAGAAAAGGTCGGTCACGGAAATCACTCTCAGTAAATGATGTGCACGCTATCGGTTTCATTTTCACTGCTAAGTGCCAGTCATACTTCCTGTGCGGGGGGTTATGATGGTCTAGGCGTTATAGCGCAGGCCCGTCCGCCAGGGGCTTGACAAACCGCGCTGGGCATTTGTCTCCCGCTGGGCATTTGTCTAGCGCTGAACGCGGTCGACCAATCGCAACAGGCTGTCATCGGTTCAATTAGCGCAGATTAGCTTTGCGCTAAGGAGGTATGGGAACAAATGAATCGCTGAACGATTCAGATGGGAGTCGCTGGGATAATTTGGTAAAAATAAATGCATATTATAAGACCATGAAAGTGTTTTTTGACCTTGCATGCATATCAGTATGTTGTTTGAGACCCATATAACTTTTGAATATTTTTGATTTTACTACAGTCATCGGTGGTGTAAAGTAACACACCTTATGTGTAAAAAACCTACAGTAATTGAGTAATTTGTTTATATTGATGGATAATTGGTTATTTAGTTAGTAATTGATGAATACATTGTGACCTCCAGGTATGACCTGTCAGGCACGGAGCTCTTACCTGGCTGAGGAGGTCATGTGGGGTCACAGGTTTAGTCCCATGATGTGTCTGGCCGAGGGATTCTTTGACGTGGATTATGGGGCATTTCACCACACATTTGAGGTATGTGATGCACAATAGGATCTTTTGATCGTATCAAATGCACTTAAAGAGCTTCTATTGTCTTATTTTGAAGCTTTTGAAGACTCTTAATATTGTTTTCACATAAATCCCTTGCATAGTTTTAACTTAAAAACCTCTGTATTAGCTGATTTAGTTGTATTGGGCCTCATAATGATCATCTCCCTGTGCAAGACTGACCAGCAGCTTATTATAGAGCAGAATCAAAGATTTTTCTTCTTACCAATAGGATTTTATGTGTGTAATTACAAATCAAAAATTCTGATTCAGGTTCCCTTAGATCACCGGTGTCAATTCCAGTTCCTGAAGGGCCGCAGCTCAGCACAGTTTAGTTCCAACCCTGCTTCAACACACTTACCTGTAGGTTTCAAACAAGCCTGAAGGACTCAAGTAGTTTGATACGGTCTGTTTAATTAGGGTTGAAACTAAACTGTGCAGAGCTGCGGCCCTCCAGGGACTGGAGTTCACACCTGTGTCTTAGATGTTGCTGTAAAGCAGGGATCACCAAACTTGTTTCTGGAGGTCCGGTATCCTGCAGATTTTAGCTCCAACCCTAATCAAACACACCTGAACAAGCTAATCAAGGTCTTACTAGGACAGGGGCAGGCACGTGCACACATAGGGCTCAAACTGTGCAGTGCACATGCCCTTTTTATTCTTGGATAGAAAGTGCCCTTCCAAAATGATCAAAAGTGCCCCCGCGACACATACCGCCCTTCAGTAGGCGCACGACTACACCGCTCTTTTGTACGCGCGCGACAACAACACCCCCCCCCCCCCCCCACACACACACACACACGCTCTTCAAAAAATTTATCCTGCACATGCCCTTTGGACAGTCTCTGCACGGGCCTGGACAGGGGTGTCCAAACTTGGTCCAGGAGGGCCAGTGTCCTGCACAGTTTAGCTCCAACTTCCTTCAACACACCAGCCTGGAAGTTTTTAGTATACTTAAAAAGAGTTTGATTAGCTGGTTCAGGTGTGTTTGATTGGGGTTGGAACTAAAATATGCAACGACACTGGCCCTCCAGGACTGAGTTTGGTCACCCCTGTACTAGGTATACTTGAAACACCCAGGCAGGTGTTTTGATACAAGTTGGAGCTAAACCCTGCATGGCACCAGACCTCCAGGAAGAGATCGTGACCCCTGCTGTAGGGTCCTGATTTTTTCACATGACCAAAATGAAAATTACTTTAAATTCTATCCTTTGGACAAACACCATTTTATACAGTAGTCAGCATTTGAAGTGGATTAAAAGTGTTTTTCAAAATTTTCCTAGAAAAGAACCAACAGAGGGTTTTAGCACAACTTTGATGAATGGTTTTGATCCACTTCAGATGTTGACTACTGGACATTTTGTATTGTATACAATACAAATAACTTCAATATTTTGGTAATGCATACATAGTTATATAGAGTATCTTCATTCTAAAATGACTGAATAAATACATACACATATAAAGATATATGAATATGTAAACATGAGTGAGGCTTTGTGTCAATAATGTTCTTTTTCTACTACTTGGTGCACTAAAAACTGAAAGTTGTCCATGTTCATGATCTTTCACAGGTGGACACACCCTCCTGCTCTGCAAGAGAGCTGGCATTGGCTGCCGCCCGTTTGGATGCTCATCTTTATTGGTCGATCTCCAGTCGGCTTGATGAAGAGAAATGGGAGGGGCCTAATCTGACTGAGCAAACAGGAAAATCCACTGATTCAGAATCTGTCAGGGAGGAACAAGGGCCAACATTTACTGTGGGTGGAGTTACAAATACCCAGGACCAGTCGGTTGTAGGAGAGCAGAACGGCAGTGTCGCCACTGACCAATCAGAGTCTGAGGCTTAAATGGATTCAAGAATGTAAAAGGTACGAAGGAGTCCACAGTTGGTGTAAATTTAACTATAGACTGGATTGTTCTGCAGTCCAAGCCTTCTTCTTCGAGTTAGATTTTTAAATGTATAGTCGCTAATGCCTAGCATAGAATACTTTCCCCAAGGGGGAAATCCTAGCGTCTCCTTGCTGTGTTTTCAGTCTGATTGAATCTTAACTTTTGATGTTTCATAACAACACTGCCTTTGAATTCACACAGTAGCTCTGTTTCAAACTCTAGTGAGCTTCCTCACCGTCCGCTTCCGGAGATGAAAACCTGGGACGGAAACATAAAGTGTGTTAAACATATCTGAAACAAACTATCATAGATCCCACTTACACCTAGTGTTAAGATGTATTTTCGTTAATCCCATCACAAGTGGATCGCTCTGGGTGGCACACTGAGTTCATATAAGGTATCCATAATTTATTTATAAACAATATGAAACGAGGCAATACAGTTTAGAGCGATATACAATAATTTGATATGAGTGCATTTGAGAAATTACAGATTTCTCATAAACATAAGTCATATACACTACCTGACAAAGGTTTTGTCATCGATTTCAGTTGTAAGAGCATTAAATAATTACTTGACTTCTTGTTGATCAATTTTTCTGATGAATCATCTGTTGAACTGCATCCCAATCATCACAAATACTGCAGAAGACCTATTGGAGCCTGCATGGACTCAAGATTATCATAGAAATCAGTCAAGTTTGGTCAAGGAAAAATCATGGTTTGGGGTTAAATTCAGTATTGGGGTTTGCGAGAGATCTGCAGAGTGGATGGCAACATCAACAGTGGCAGTATCAAAAGATTTCTGCTGCATATTACATTACAAACCACAGGAGAGGGCAAATTCTTCAGCAGGATAGCGCTCCTACTCTTACTTCAGCCTCCAAATTTCCTGAAAGCAAAGAAGGTCAAGGTGCTCCAGTATTGGCCTGCCCAGTCATCAGATATGAACATTATTGAGTATGTCTGGGGTAAAATGGAGGAGGCATTGAAGATGAATCCAAAGAATCTTGAACTCTGGGAGTCCTGCAAGAGCGATTTCTTTGCCATTCCAAATTACTTATTGATAAGTTATTTGAGTCGTTGCAGAGATGTTTGGATGCAGTCCTCCAAGCTCATGGGAGTCATACACATTATTAACTCTTTTTCCACTGCAGCATGACTTTATATTCTATACTTGACATTATTTCTGTTAAGTGACTAGCCTTTTGTCTAAGCAAAGTCAGACCTTACTCTCCTAGTTAAATAATTACAAAATCAAGGCATGATCATTTTTTATTTTGGTAAAATAAGCATAATCTAGAGGCCTTTGCCTTTGCCTTTCAGATAAGCCACTTCTGATACCAAACGATCAACTACAAGTATTTGTTGCTCCTACAACTTGGATAGGTGACAAGACTTTTTGTCAGGTAGTTTTTTTTTTTAAACATTTCTGTTTCGGGTAGCATATACCATGTGAAAAGCAATGGTCAGAATAATTAATTATATATACCAGTGGTTCCTAACTTGGGGGTCCCAGTCCACAAGGGGGCCCCAACGAGCTCTTTGGGGGGTCGTGTCTTATTTTTACAATTTTCAGCAGTTTGTTTTATCCCGGCTGACCAAAAAATGGACAAACTTGTAATTTGTCCTCCACAAAAACAATCGATTCACCTTCAGCTGCTAATAGTAATGACCCAAGCATCCTGGACCCAGATGAGGACACTACAAACATTTCGGGTTGCAGTGCTAGCAATACTGGAAATGCAGGAAATACCAAGAACTATGATTTTATGCCTTTTTCTCAAAGTAAAGTGTCCCTGAAACAGCTACATGCAGTTTTGTCATCTTTACTGTAAAGTTAGATGTAGAGGGGGGCCTTACAATATTTTCCTGGAGAAAAGGGGGTCTCAAGCAAAAAAAGGTTGGGAACCACTGATATATACCATATATAGCCTACACAGTTACATTCAATACATTTGTTTTCAAATCCTTTAATATGAACACTGACTAATTGAACAACTTTAGATAAGATATGATTGTTTTAATCCAAATATAAAATACAGGTTTAGACTGAAAAAAATAGAGATATGAGTTTTGTTGCCCATACTGCAGAGATTTTTAAGGGTATGATGATATATACAGATTAGGGCTGAACAATATATCTTTTGAGCATCATATCACATATTGTGTGTAACTGAAATAGTCACATTTCATCATTTGATTATTTATGAAAGATTAAAGGAAAAATATAGGTCCCACTTTATATTAAGTGGCCTTAACTAATATGTCCTTACACAGGAATTAATAGTTTGATACAATGTACTTATTGTGTGAATACATGTATTTACTGTGTACTTGTGCTTGATTAAATACATGTATGTAATTACATCTGTAATTAACTTTTGTAATTACATTTGTAAATACACTGTTGACCATTCCTTACACCTTAACCCACCCTTAAACCTACCCATCCCACCAAACCTGTCTATAACCCCATTTCTATCCCAACTCAAAAGCACCACAAGTGTTCTCAAATACATTATAAACACAGTAAGTACATTGTATTTATTTTTGATGTAAGTACATAGTAGTTAAGGACACTTAATATAAAGTGAGACCAAAATATATTATTGTATAAAATTATTTACACAGTAATAACCATGTTATCCTACGTTTCATTGTTCAATTCTTATTTTTCTACACTGTTAGGCTCCCCGGAAAACCATAAAACCCTATTTGTTTAACATTTATTTTTCCTCTGTCGTTTGTATATATGCTTGTACTATACTTAAAGCAGATGGACTGCCTAGAAAAAGCCTTGATCACCCGAGACATTCAAATCATCTGGTGAAATTATATTAATATCGCATTATATATCGCAGGAAAACAAAATATTGCAATGTCAGTTTTTTTTAAATATCGTTCAGCCCTAATACAGAAGCACAGTAAACAGGGTTAATCGAGTTTGTCTAATTTCAGTCACCCTCACAGAGGTAGTCAAAAATATATTTGATTGTATTATTTACATAGTGTAAACACTCTTGTGGTCGAATGCATTTACATAAATAGTAGTAGACCCTCTAATCCAGCTCATTCTCATGAGGAAGTGTAGCTATTTTACGTATTGTCCGAAAACAAATTTATACTATTGAATTCATTTGAAAACCCCACCTCTGACCTCATTGTGGGATGAGCAAACTACTAAAACGCATAAATGAAACTTAAATTGAAAAATCACTATTTGCTGTGAAATTGCATTGTCTTTTATCTGCCAACCTAATACATGATCATTAAGGGGGACCTATGATAAAAATCATCTTTTGAAAGCTGTTTGGACAGATCTGTGTGCAGGTATAGTGTGTCCACAGTCATATTGAGATGATATAAACAAAATAAGTCTCTTTTTTAATTTCCTTACATTAAAAATAGGATCCAAATCCCTCCCATTTCGAGTTCCACTGCATCATGACATATGCGTGTGGTTTCCCCACCCACCAATTTAATTGACAGCCGCATGCTTCAATGTCTCTGTAGTAACGCTTTTAAAAAATTATAACAAGACAGGACAAGCGCAAAGCAACTGGGATTAAAAGCTCTGTTCAGCTCTCTGTGATCATCAGTCATCATCAAATGTGATCGAGAATGAGTTTTACAAGTTAAAAATGTTTGTAATGCATTACAGCGATTTTACTGTCTTTATTACCACAGCCGCATGTCAGTACAAATATTAAAAGAAGATGCTTCAATCCCAGTTTGTGGACCTTAAATCAGGTTTATTTTGTACATTAACATAACAGATATCCATACAGCAGTGGATCTTAACGTGTATCCTGTCACATTTGCCATCCAAAAACAGTGCAAAGTTAAATGCGCACGCTGTGTGTGTATGTGTGAGTGAACTTTGTAACATTTTGAGTGACTCGTCGTTGCAGAAAGGCTTGAATTAACTCCACAACAAATACATCAAATAATCATTGGGAAAGTTCTCGCTGTAGTATTACTTACATACATTATGTGAGGTTTGCTTCCTTCATGTCTGTCCCTGTGCTGTGATTGAGGCACGCTCTGACAGGCACATGGGAATGGTGGGCGGAGAGTACTAGCATTAAAGCCACAGGCAACAAAAACATCTACGAGATGCTCAGAGCTACATATTACAAACTTCTGAAAGGATATAATAAATAATCTGATGGGTGTTTTAAGCAGACATTTACAGACACATGCTGGAGATACAAAATACTTGTATTAAATCTTAAAAAAAGGGGTCAAATAGGTGCCGTTTAAGAAATGTGTTAAGATAAAAGACAGCTAAGCAGTAAGTATTAAACCTTGACAGCATTGTACCAGATTATGCAAATCATGTTGACATCATTCACATCATTTTCATTGGCTTTCTTTGCCAAATGGAATACAAGTGGTCATGAGAAAAAGTAAAACTGTGCTTCATGTTGGATGACCACTTGTGATCAGATCACTGAAAATGCATGTCCTGGAAACAGGAGCTTTAATGATTGCTTGGTGGAAAACTCACTAGGTTTCCTAACAAAGCTAACAAGTCTGATTTGTGTTACTATGACTTATTCTTGTCTTTTCGTCCATGAGCGCGGTTTTAATGTCTCCCTGCTATTTTTAAAACCGTCCTTTAGAGCAAGTCTGTGCGAGTTGTTTACAGTCACGTTGGTTCTACCTGAAAAAGAAGTGAACACGTTACTATGGCAACATTAGCCAACATTCCAATTTGCACCATCACAGCCGAGTTCAGCTTCAGCGTCTTAAGAGTCAGCCGGAGGTAAAATTAGCACGTCCTCACGACTGCCGGCCAGAGTTTAGTCTAGAGAAAGTCAGTCGCTTTGTATCAGAGTGGATCTACACAATAAATGGATTCAAATATATCGGATGCTATTAAGCCATCGCATCCTTTCAGCGTCCTAATTAAATGGATGTGGAAAATAGCATTGTCCTGTGATCGATCAGCTGTTGCCACCATATGCAACTGAACACATTGCTGTTCTTTGTGTCTTCTGTTTATTTCATTCTAATGTGTCCATATAGCAGCTAATAAATCATTGCGCAGTTACTGCTGCGGATAAAGTAAGTGAGCGGTATTAAAGTGGGATGAGATTAGTTATTGAATATGTTTAGCACATCAGTGAGTACGCAAACAAATGCTGGCTTCCACACAATTCCTTCATGTTGTCCCAACACAAATCGATTAAGTTAACATAATTGTTTTAACAAATTTAAATGGATTAAACAATTAAATTGTCTCCCAAAAAACCCAGTACAGTAGACAAAACTGTAGTTTAAACAAACAGCAAAAATTGGTGTAATTTTTACACATTAACTATATTTTTAAAGACAGAGTGCAATGAGAGACTTCTTAACCCAGGGGTCTGTTCTTCGTACGTGGATTACTCAGTTAGCTGGATTTGGATATTGACGATTTGACACGATCCAGGATCGTTTTGTTCTTCAAAGCTGATCCGAGAGTTGTTGTCATAGCAACAGTTCTGCTAGCTCAAACCTGATCGAAAGCAGGTTCAATTCATATAAACAGGATTAGATCGGCTAAATGGGAAAATGATAAACAATTTTAACTATATATATATATATATATATATATATATATATATATATATATATATATATATATATATATATAAAGTTATAGTTATTAATAAA